TTCTACCCCGGGTGGACTAATCTCCATCTGTTCCATCTCACTCCCTTCTACCCGCGGGTGGACTAATCTCCATCTGTTCCATCTCGCTCCCTTCTACCCCCCGCGGGTGGACTAATCTCCATCTGTTCCACCTCACTCCCTTCTACCCGCGGGTGGACTAATCTCCATCTGTTCCATCTCGCTCCCTTCTACCCCGCGCGTGGACTAATCTCCATCTGTTCCATCTCACTCCCTTCTACCCGCGGGTGGACTAATCTCCATCTGTTCCATCTCGCTCCTTCTACCCCGTGGACTAATCTCCATCTGTTCCATCTCACTCCCTTCTACCCCGTGGGTGGACTAATCTCCATCTGTTCCATCTCGCTCCCTTCTACCCCGCGGGTGGACTAATCTCCATCTGTTCCACCTCGCTCCCTTCTACCCCGCGGGTGGACTAATCTCCATCTGTTCCATCTCACTCCCTTCTACCCCGTGTGTGGACTAATCTCCATCTGTTCCATCTCACTCCCTTCCACCCCGCGGGTGGACTAATCTCCATCTGTTCCATCTCACTCCCTTCCACCCCGTGGGTGGACTAATCTCCATCTGTTCCATCTCACTCCCTTCTACCCCGTGTGTGGACTAATCTCCATCTGTTCCATCTCGCTCCCCTCTACCCCGTGTGTGGACTAATCTCCATCTGTTCCATCTCACTCCCTTCCACCCCGTGTGTGGACTAATCTCCATCTGTTCCACCTTTATTTCCCGTGAACGGGTGTCTCGGAGGAGCCCTACGCTAGCTCGCCTGCATGGGATACAGCGTTGCCCCCTCGCATGCGTGCGTTTGCTCCCACGTGTATAAAGGCACAGCACCTCCAACGTCTTCTTGCCGCTGCTCGCCATGAACATGCTCTTGATGTTGCTCGACTTGGTGACCGGCTTCTTCGCCTCCCCACCGGCCGTCTTGCGGGAGGAGCCAGCTCCCTTGCGGTCTGCGGGCACGCCCAACCGGCGACGGGCCCAACCGGGGCAACCCCGAGAAAGAAACATTTAAAATCAGGGTACAGCACAGCGGACTCACGATTATCCGCGCTAATGACTGTGAGGACGCCCGGGGGATGAGCCACGATCTTGGATAATCCACGCTTCATCCCAGAGGTCGCAACCGGGTACCCGATACCCGTACCCTACCCGCTACCTGTACCCGGCCGGGTACGGGTACCCGTTTGCGACCCTGGTGCGGCCGGGTACGGGTAGACCGTGAGTCACTGGTGAGTCACCGTTTGTCACTCATTTCCCAACGTCTTGTCTCTTCTCACAATTCAAGTTTCTAGAATCAACCTACCCGCGCCTGCAACATGGCTTCATCCCAGAGGTCGCAATCGGGTATTTGTCGGGTATTTGTCACGTCTCACGGCACGCCAAGTGGCAGCCCGTACCACGATGTGGAAGAGTGACGATGAGGTGGCGAAGAGGTGAGGGGGGCGAGGGGGCGGTGATCGTTCTCACCCTTGTTGCGACTCTCCAGGACATCCTCGGTCAGCTCATCGTCAAAAACCTCACGTCCATCCTCGACGTAGCCGATGCCGTCTGCGGGTCGGGAGCGGAGGGAGTTGAAACTCGGGCGTGGATTCAACGAAGGATGCAACAGAGACCCGTAGACTCACACAGAGACCCATAGACTTACACAGATCCACAGAATTCACATAGAGACCCATAGACTCACACAGAGACCCGCATACTCACACAGAGACCTAAAGACTCACACAGAGAGCCACAGACTCACACAGAGACCCACAGACTCACACAGAGACCCGTAGACTCACACATAGACCCACAGACTCACACAGAGACCCACAGACTCACACAGAGACCCAATCACACAGAGACCCAAAGACTTGCAGAGACCCGTAGAATCACACAGAGACCCATAGACTCACACAGAGCCCCACAGACTCACATAGAGACCCACAGACTCACACAGACACCCACAGACTCGCACAGAGACCCACAGACTCACACAGAGAAGCCCACAGACTCACACAGAGACCCGTAGACTCACACATAGACCCACAGAATCACACAGAGACCCACAGGCTCACACAGAGACCCGTAGAATCACACAGAGACCCAAAGACTCACACAGACACCCACAAACTCGCACAGAGACCCACAGACTCACACAGAGAAGCCCACAGACTCACACAGAGATCCGTAGACTCACACAGAGACTCACAGACTCACACAGAGACCCACAGACTCACACAGAGAAGCCCACAGACTTACTTACACAGAGACCCACAGACTCGCACAGACACCCACAGACTCGCACAGACGCCCGTAGGCTCCCAGGAAACTCAACGCAGGCAACAAAGGAGCAGCACGGGGCATCGTTACCATCGTCCACGATCCAATCGTCGTCCTGGCGATCCCGCACGCGGTTCGAGTACTCCTCCTCTGTCACCTCGTCGTACACACGCGTCACGTCCTCCACCTGGAAGTCAAAGATTGTCCCCCCAACCCCGTTAAGTCTACACGCGCGCAAGCGTACGCCGAACTAAAACTTGTATTTTTAAATCCTTTATTAAATCCTTTATATTAAGTTCACTTGCTTGCTTAGGACCGTGCAAATCTTTCGGTCGTTTTTTAACCCACTTCCCGTGATCCAATCGAGCTGACATTTTGCACACAGACTCGTTGTGCGTGACAATTTATTTTCGTGAAAATTTTTTTCCCAAAATTTTCCACTTTTTAGGAAAAAAAAATTTCATATTTAATTTAAAATACCAATGTGATAAAAATGAAACTCTTACTCAAGAAAAACAGAAATGAATAATAAAATAAAACCGATGCCACGCATATAAAGGATTTATAGTGAAGAACTTTGTTTTTACGGGTTAATTTTTTAGCAGGCGAAGCCCATGGGGCTGTACAGCCCAGCCACTAATGTGGCTGTCGCCTGAGGAAGCTGGTTGTGATTACTGGCGAAACATCGCGATACTCAGATTGTAAATGTTGTGGCTTTGCTCTCCAACACACAACCGGTGTGTTGTACTAGTATACTACACTATACAATACACTACACTATACTATACACTACACTATACACTACCCTATACACTACACTATACACTAGTGCTGTACTAGTAAACTACACTATACACTACACTATACACTACACTATACACTACACTATACACTACACTATACACTACACTATACACTAGTGCTGTACTAGTATACTACACTATACACTACACTATATACACTACACTATACACTACACTATATACACTACACACTACACTATACACTACACACTACACTACACACTGGTGCTGTACTAGTAACTAACTGGTACGTTCTGTTTACGTGACAAACCAGACTGATTGGCTGTCGGGTGGTGGCGGATTTAACGACACATTTGTATATTTACGCGACCTCACCCCAAAAACAAAACTGTATTGTAGCTGTACAGCTGTTTGTCAGAAGCGTCCTGCCTATCACAACTGATAGCTCAACGGAGTGGGTGAGTGAGTGGGTGAGTGAGTGAGAGTGGGTGGATGAGTGGGTGGGTGAGTAAAAGAGTGGGGCAGTGACTGGGTGGGTGAGTGGGGGCATGAGTGAGTGGGTGAGTGAGTGGGTGGTTGAGTAAGTGGGGAAGTGAGTGGGTCGTTAAGTGAGTGGGTGGGTAAGTGAGTGAGTGGTTGAGCGAGTGGGTGAGTAAGTGAGGGGGTGAGTAAGTGAGTGAGTGAGTGAGTGAGTGGGTGGGTGGGTGGGTGGGTGAGTGAGTGAATAGGTGAGTGAGTGAGTGAGAGTGGGTGGATGAGTGGGTGGGTGAGTAAAAGAGTGGAGCAGTGAATGGGTGGGTGAGTGGGGGCATGAGTGAGTGGGTGAGTGAGTGCGTGAGTGAGTGGGTAAATGAGTGGGTGGTTGAGTAAGTGGGGAAGTGAGTGGGTCGTTAAGTGAGTGGGTGGGTAAGTGAGTGAGTGGTTGAGCGAGTGGGTGAGTAAGTGAGGGGGTGAGTAAGTGAGGGGGTGAGTAAGTGAGAGAGTGAGTGAGTGGGTGAGTGAGTGAGTGAGTGGGTGGGGTGGGTGGGTGAGTGAGTGAGTGAGTGGGTGGGTGGGTGAGTGAATAGGTGAGTGAGTGAGTGAGAGTGGGTGGATGAGTGGGTGGGTGAGTAAAAGAGTGGAGCAGTGAATGGGTGGGTGAGTGGGGGCATGAGTGAGTGGGTGAGTGAGTGCGTGAGTGAGTGGGTAAATGAGTGGGTGGTTGAGTAAGTGGGGAAGTGAGTGGGTCGTTAAGTGAGTGGGTGGGTAAGTGGTTGAGTGAGTGGGTAAGTGAGAAAGTAAGTGAGTGGGTGAGTGGGTGAGTGACTGGGTGGATGAGTGAGTGAGTGGGTGGGTGAGTGGGTGAGTGAGTGAATGGGTGGGTGAGTGAATGGGTGGGTGGGTAAGTGAGTGAGTGAGTGGGTGGGTGAGTGAGTGGGTGGGTGAGTAAGTGAGTGAGTGGGTAGGTCAGTGAGTGGGTAGGTGGGTGAGTGAGTGGGTAAGTGAGTGGGTGAGTGAATGGATGGGTGGGTAAGTGAGTGGGTGGGTGGGTGGGTAAGTGAGTGGGTGGGTGGGTGAGTAAGTGGGTGAGTGAGTGAATGGATGGGTAAGTGAGTGAGTGGGTGGGTGAGTAAGTGGGTGAGTGAGTGGATGGGTGAGTAGGTGAGTGGGTAAGTGGGTGAGTAAGTAAGTGGGTGAGTGAATGGATGGGTAAGTGAGTGGGTGGATGAGTAAGTGGGTGAGTGAGTGAGAGGATGGGTGAGTAGATGAGTGGGTAAGTGGGTGAGTAAGTGTGTGGGTAAGTGGGTGAGTAAGTGAGTGAGTGTGTGGGTGAGTAGGTGAGCAAGTGAGTAAGTGCTGGAGTAAGTGGGTCACCTCCGCCACGAACAACGCGCACAACAACCGCCCTCTAGTCGAGGAATCAAACTCGTCACAGCCTCTTGCTGCGAGTTGCCACAACTGGTGGTGGTGGTGGTGGCGACGGGGTGGGGGTTGTACCTCGTAGGAGACCTTCTCCCCGGCCTTCGCCTTGCGGAGTTTCTCCAAAGCGGCGCTGCGACCCGCCGTGTCCTTCTTGTCGCGGCGACTCCTGGAGCTGGCGAGGGAATCTTTAGGGAGGGCAAAAAAAAACTCCTTAAAATTTTTTTTTTTTTTAAAGACAACGGTTTTATTTTAAAGTGCACTAAAAAGTAACGAGGAATTTTTCTTTCGGCCGTCACCGGCTGATGGGAATATTTTTGGACATTTGTAACTAAAACATAAAACCCGTGGGGCGCTCCTTGATTATTCTACAGTTTAGGGAGCGCGGAGTTTTTGACCTACACAAAAAATGTTTCGATTTAAAGCTTTCGTGACTGCAGGGATTCATCTTCTTGGTTCTTTCGGTAAAGTCACGTAGAAGGGAAATAATAAAATATTTATTTTATATTATTTTATTTCGATTTAAAGCTTTCGTGACTGCAGGGATATTCTTCTTCTTGGTTCTTTCGGGAAAGTCACGTAGAAGGGAAATAAAAAAATAATAAAATACAATTCTCACGACGTTTCGGCCACAACGCAAGCAGCCGTCCTCAGGTGTAGAACAGGTCTGTCGGAAAGACAGCGTCTGAAATTCAGGACGGCTGCTTGCGTTGTGGCCGAAACGTCGTGAGAATTGTATAATGTTTTATTTTTATTACTTTATTATTTGCCTTCTACGTGACTTTACCGAAAGAACCAAGAAGAAAAAAATACATATCATTAATAAGCCGTCCATGAAAAAATTGCAATTGCTTGAAAGGAGGCAATTCATTGATGAATTGATGCCGATTTTGATCGAGCCACGCATTGTCACCGGATCTGAGTAGCGTGCAAAATGTGAAATTGATTGACCAACGGAAAGTAGACTAACTTTCGATCACAAGATTTGACCACGACACACACCAGTGAAGTTAAACATAAAACCGTTGAATGAAAAGTATATCATATAAAAAAAAACTTTTTTAAAAACACGCTTTCATGAAATGTACCGTACTAATAATGGCAGAACTCCACGACTCCAGGAAGTGGCCCCGAGGCTTGCCACAACGTAAGGGGCCGTGGCCAATTACAGACAACGTCAGTTGAGCGTGGACAATTAGACCCAAGCCGAAACATAACATGTAAAAAATAATGTTTAAAAGTATGTTTTTTTTATTTTTAATGTTAGAATATGGTATTGTCATCAGTACGACATACGTGTACCAAGTTTGCAGTCGATACCACATTGGGAAGTGGGTTAAAATTGAGTTGCAAGATTTGAGGATACAACAACAACAGAGTGGTGTAGCGGTGGTTCGGGCTGAACGATTAATCGATTTCAAATCGATTAAAAATCCCAATAAGAAAGTAAACATGACTTTTCAAATCGCAAAAAATCGCAGCCTTTGAGATTTGCTAATAGCATTGTTTCAAATTGCGATTAATCGATTTCAAATCGATTTTAAATCGATTTGAAATCGATTAATCGTTCAGCCCGAACCACCGCTCCACTAGCACGCTCACACAAAGACAAAGCTCCCCCGTGTAGCCTCTACAGACTGCAGGGGCAAGTGCTGTTAGTAGCAGCTACCTATGAAGGTGACACAGACAAAGGTCCCCGCTACAACAGGTCACTAATTTGAGGCTGAGTCGACCTAGGGGAGGCCAATGACCGATACAGATATCGCCCACGAATAGGGATACAAAGACAAAGGTCCCCCGTGTAGCCTCTAACAGACTGTAGGGGCAAGTGCTGTTAGCGAGCGGCACTGTGGGGTGGGTGGACAGCACCCACGCCCTGGCGCTCGTCTAGGTCGGCTCAGCCTCAAAACTAAAAAACCGTAGCCCCCCCCTATGTTGGGTTTGACTCGGGAGTTACGTGAAGAGCAAGCTGAGGAAATCGATCTAGGGGCTGCATCGAGCAGTCTACGGCGTAACAAAAAACACATTTTGTACATTAAAAGATAATAAAAATAGTAAAATATAAAGTCTCCTCACCGCCCTCGTTACCCACAGGCGCCATCGCAGATTTGGCGGGAAACGTCGCGGGCCTCTCTCGCCCTTGGCGCGCTTTCACGCCTCGCCATTGGTCGGCGGCTGAGTGACGTCAGCGAAGGTTTCGCGTGAGTCCATCTTGGGTAGGGGAGACGCCGCGGGGTGGTGTTCACAACGCACGGTGGCCATGTTGGGTAGGGAAAGTGTTCACAACGCACGGTGGCCATGTTGGGTAGGGGACATCAGCCCGTGGTGTCCCCTAGTCGTGTCAGACACGCCCCCCCCCCAGTGAGGCCACGCCCCCCCCCCAGTGAGGCCACGCCCCCCAGTGAGGCCACGCCCCCAGTGAGGCCACGCCCCCCCAGTGAGGCCACGCCCCCAGTGAGGCCACGCCCCCCCCCCCAGTGAGGCCACGCCCCCCCCCCCCCAGTGAGGCCACGCCCCCCCCCCCAGTGAGGCCACGCCCCCCCAGTGAGGCCCCCCCCCCAGTGTGTGACTCTGGCTCTGACACGGGCCAGTGCCTCTCCAGCCATTGACCTCACCGCACGTCACAGTGCTGGCGGCCATCTTGGGTAGGGATACTCGTGTTGATAGATGTTACAGTGCTGGCGGCCATCTTGGGTAGGGATACTCGTGTTGATAGATGTTACAGTGCCGGTGGCCATCTTGGGTAGGGATACTCGTGCTGATAGATGTTACAGTGCTGGCGGCCATCTTGGGTAGGGATACTCGTGTTGATAGATGTTACAGTGCCGGTGGCCATCTTGGGTAGGGATACTCGTGTTGATAGATGTTAGTGCTGGCGGCCATCTTGGATAGGGATACTCGTGTTGATAGATGTTACAGTGCTGGCGGCCATCTTGGGTTGGGATACTCGTGTTGATAGATGTTACAGTGCTGGTGGCCATCTTGGGTAGGGACACTCGTGTTGATAGGTCACAATGCTGGCGGCCATCTTGGGTAGGGATGTCAGTGTCTGGTGAAGACTTTGTGCTGGACGTCCAATAGATTGTCACGACACACACCCGTGTCTTGCTTAACCAGTTTAATAGAATGACTTGCATGCTTCACATATACAATTTTGTTAATGCATTGATTACGTTTTAAACACACACATAATGGACGGGTTTTTTTGGAGTTAGATTGCGTAATTATATAAGGAGGAGGAAGAGGTAGGGGGAAGGAGGAGGATGAGGTGGAGGAGGAGGAGGTGGAGGAAGAGTAGGAGAATGAGGAGGAAAAGTAGAAAAAGGAAAAGCCCAACCAACTTGCGCATAACACAAACACACACGCGTGCGTTTAAAATTTTTTTCGCATTGGCAAGAGATGTCCTCTCTCTACCATCGGTGGGCACAAACCCCGGCCCCCCCAAAACTACGGAGGAGGGGGTGGGGAGAAGGAACCACGCGTTCCCCGAAAGGTGGATAGAGCGAGCGAGCGTTCGTGGGATCCGTTCACCATTTTTAAATCCTTTATATTAAGTTCACTTGCGTGCTTGCTTGCTTGCTTAGGACCGTGCAAATTTTTCGGTCGTTTTTTAACCCACTTCCCGTGATCCAATCGAGCTGACATTTTGCACACAGACTCGTTGTGCGTGACAATTAATGTTCGTGAAATTTTTTTCCAAAATTTTACACTTTTTAGGAATTTTTTATATTTAATTACAAATTGCTTAATGGTGGCAGGCAATCATCTGACCCATAGGTGGCAGCCATCTCAAGCCAGAGGACGAGAGGACTCTAGCCGCCACGCATATAAAGGATTTATAGTGAAAAACTTTTTTTATGGGTTATACTTGTTACCTCTCCTTTGCAGGGAAAACGCGATGGACAAACGGACGGACAGACGCGCCGCGCCCGATCCACCCCGTCGGCTACGCGTGTCGTTCGCGCTGCGACGGGATAAAAAAAAATGAATCCGCGAACGGAGTGAATGACAAATTATGTTTCGTGTTTTAGGCCCACAAAATGGAGTTATTGGGAGCGGTTTTGCCCATTTAAGGAATACTGGGAACGGGAATCGACCGATGTGTTTTTTTTACGACAATCGAGCATCGATCGGGCTGCGATATTTTGAGCGCGTTGGTCTATGTGACCGAGCGTGGATGGAGCGTCGATCGGGCTGCGATATTTTGAGCGCGTTGGTCTATGTGACCGAGCGTGGATGGAGCGTCGATCGGGCTGAGATATTTTGAGCGCGTTGGTTGGTCTATGTGACCGAGCGTGGATTGAGCGTGGATCGAGCTGAGATATTTTGAGCGCGTTGGTCTATGTGACTGAGCGTGGATGGAGCGTCGATCGGGCTGAGATATTTTGAGCGCGTTGGTCTATGTGACCGAGCGTGGATTGAGCGTCGATCGGGCTAAGATATTTTGAGCGCGTTGGTCTATGTGACCGAGCGTGGATGGAGCGTCGATCGGGCTGCGATATTTTGAGCGCGTTGGTCTATGTGACCGAGCGTGGATGGAGCGTCGATCGGGCTGAGATATTTTGAGCGCGTTGGTCTATGTGACCGAGCGTGGATGGAGCGTCGATCGGGCTGCGATATTTTGAGCGCGCATTTTTTTAAAAATCGTTAAAGCGATCCCTCGGCACGCAATTTCTGCATCTAAAGGACACGATTGGTGGATGGAATAAGCCCCCCAAACACATCAGGCCACCCCCGATGATTGGCATCCTTCAGCGTCAACACGTATCCATTCGTCCTGCCGCGGATCCATTTCGACCTGTTACAGCGGTGCTCGCTCAACAAACCCACGGCACGGTTAGCAAGCGGGCGACGGCATCTTTAAGTTTCGATTTAAAGCTTTCGTGACTGCAGGGATTCATCTTCTTGGTTATTTAGGTAAAGTCACGTAGAAGGGAAGTAATAAAATAATAAAAATAAAACATAATAAGATCATTCTTTACGACGTTTCGGCCACAACGCAAGCAGCCGTCCTCAGGTGAAAACCACATACCTGCATTTTCCATATCTCTTCCCTTTGATGCTGCTAATCCTGCATAATGCACGGGCATAAGTAGTACTAATCACATACCTGCATTTCCCATATCCCCTCCCTTTGATGCTGCTAATCCTGCATAATGCACGGGCATAAGTAGTACTAATCACATACCTGCATTTCCCATATCCCCTCCCTTTGATGCTGCTAATCCTGCATAATGCACGGGCATGAGTAGTACTAATCACATACCTGCATTTCCCATAAATATGCTGAATTCTTCTTGATATACAAATTATTTTGTCAAGGCGCCCTTTCCCCCCCTTCCAACCCAGCTTAAATATACGCTCCAAGCATGGTGCTGTTTCATTCAGAAGCTGTCGCCTCGACAGACCTGGTTTTCACCTGAGGACGGCTGCTTGCGTTGTAGCCGAAACGTCGTGATAATTATTTTATTATGTTTCATTTTTATTATTTTATTACTTCCCTTCTACGTGACTTTACCGAAAGAGCCAAGAAGAGGCATCTTCAAGCTTTGAGGTAGACAGCGCACAGTGGGTTCTAATCTGCCAGCGGTGGGTGAGCGGGCGGGCGGGCGGGCGATGTTGTTGGGAGTCGAGAGAGGTCGCCCGCAATGTGCTCCAGGATTGAGCCTCTTCAAGGTAATCGTTTCGATCGGCCGCGCGACAAAAAAAATCCTGGGCCGCCAAACCCACCGACAGAAAAGCCGCTGGCGTTCACAGGGTTCAACGACGGAGAAACGCCACCGACGGGATATAAGATGGGCGGTAATAGCGCAACTCGGTGAAAAGGTTCCGCGAAAACTACGGCGGCGATATCGGTGAAATGACGCCGACGTGAGGGTTTTTCGGGAAAAGAGAAATACTAAAAACAATTTCCTGAAGGGATTTTAAAAATAAAAAAAACTTTCTTAGAGAGTAAAAAAAAAAACTCATCATCGTCGTACGGAAGGCATTCGCGACCGTCGCTTCGGTGCATAGTGTAATTTTGGGGGGGGGGGGGAGGGAGGGGGGGACTGGTGGTGGGGGTCAACTCGTCGTGTGTGCAGGAGGGGAGGGGTTACAACCAGAGGTCGCAACCGGGTACCCGATACCCGTACCCTACCCGATACCCGGCTACCCGTACCCGGGTACGGGTAGCCGCTTGTGACCCTGGTGCGGCCGGGTACGGGTAGGCCGTGAGTCACTGGTCAGTCACCGTTTGTCACTCATTTCGGGTAGGGTACGGGTACGGGTAGGGAACGGGTACCCGTACCCGGCCGGGTACGGGTACAGGTACCCGTTTGCGACCCTGGTGCGGCCTGGGGTACGGGTACGGGTAAGGAATCAAAACCCGTTTGCGTGATTACAAATCGCCGACGATCAGTTCCTGCCGCCCCGTACTGGACACCCGTGACGAAAGGCTTCCCGGCTCATCAGATTATCCACCACGGGACGGTGGTGGATATCCGGTGAGCTGTGACGAGGCCCGGCCCGGCACAAGCCGATGCCGCACGGAGGCTTCGAAGCCGCAGTCCAAGTGAAGATGCTGAGTCCGAATCGGCAATCTGATCCTCCCGCCCCCGATGCCCCCCCCCCCCTCCACCTCCTCCGCAAGAAGGAACGAAATGGTGACGTACCCAGAGAGTTAAGGCCACGGACTACGACGGATAAGGGGAGGTCACGGAGGTGAGGTCACGGGGGAGAGGTCACGGGGGAGAGGTCACGGGGGGGAGGTCACGGGGGGGAGGTCACGGGGGAGAGGTCAAAGGGGGGAGGTCACGGGGGAGAGGTCACAGGGGAGAGGTCACAGGGGGGAGGTCACGGGGTAGAGGTCACGGAGGGCAGGCCACGGGGGAGAGGTCACGGGGTAGAGGTCACAGAGGGCAGGTCACGGGGTAGAGGTCACAGGGGAGAGGTCACGGAGGGCAGGTCACGGGGTAGAGGTCACAGGGGAGAGGTCACAGAGGGCAGGTCACGGGGTAGAGGTCACGGAGGGCAGGCCACATGGTAGAGGTCACAGGGGAGAGGTCACAGGGGAGAGGTCACGGAGGGCAGGTCATGGGGAGGAGAGGTCACGAAGGAGGAAAGGATCACGGAGGGCAGGTCACGAGGGGGAGGTCACAGGGGAGAGGTCACGGAGGGCAGGTCATGGGGGTGAGGTCAAGGGGGAGAGGTTACATAGGGCAGGTCACGGGGTAGAGGTCACAGGGAAGGGGTTCCCGGCTGCCGAGTTCAACCCGAATTCCGGATCCGGATTAACCCTGCGCTCCGTAGCCCAGCTACTGCTACGCAGAATGCTGCACCTGCTGCACCTGCTGCTGCTGCACCTGCTGCTGCTGCACCAGCTACTGCTGCGCATGCTGCACCTGCTGCTGCTGCACCTGCTGCTGCTGCACCTGCTGCTGCTGCACCTGCTGCACCTGCTGCTGCTGCACCTGCTGCTGCTGCACCTGCTGCTGCTGCACCAGCTACTGCTGCGCATGATGCTGCATCTGTTGCTGCTGCACCTGCTGCTGCTGCACAGGATGCTGCATCTACTGCTGCTGCACCTGCTGCACCAGCTGCTGCTGCACCACAGGTTTAGGGTGAATGCGGTCCGTGTGCCGAGATCACGGGACCGCAGGACGTGGCGGCTGCGGTAATGTCGTCGAGGTATACTGGATGTGGTGTGCCGGGTCGCTGTTAACCCCCGGGGGAAGGTGGCGACGCCCGGCTAGAAGCAGTCGTAGTGGTGGAGTGGTGGCGCAGCGGTTAGCGCACCGCGACAAACCCCGACGGCACGAGCTTGATTCCCGCTCACGGTTAGTGTCGGCGGCGTGGTGGTTGTTGCGGCGTGTGCGTGCGTGCGTGTGTGCGTGTGTGTGTGCGTGCGTGTGGGTGCGCGTGTGTGTGGGTGCGTGTGTGTGTGGGTGCGTGTGTGCGTGTGTGTGTGTGGGTGTGTGGGTGTGTGCGTGTGTGCGTGCATGTGGGTGCGTGTGTGTGTGGGTGTGTGTGGGTGTGTGTGTGTGCGTACGTGTGCGTGTGTGTGCGCGTGTGCGTGTGTGTGTGTGTGCGTGCGTGCGTGTGGGTGTGTGCGTGTGTGCGTGCGTGTGCATGTGGGTGCGTGCGTGTGTGTGCGCGCGTATGTGTACGTGCGCGTGTGTGTGTGCGTGCGTGTGCGTGCGTGTGGGTGTGTGCGTGTGTGCGTGTGTGTGTGCATGTGTGTGTGTGTGTGTGCGTGTGTGTGTGTGTGCATGTGTGTGTGTGCATGTGTGCGGTGCCTGCTTCGTCAGCCTTTGTCTCACTTGTTATGCTCAAAGAACATAAAATCCTGCACACACAGGTACACGCACACACGCACACACGCACACAGGTACACACACAGGTACACACACACAGGTACACACACACAGGTACACACACACAGGTACACACACGCACGCACACACGCACACACGCACGCACACACGCACACACACAGGTACACACACACAGGTACACACACACACAGGTACACACACACACAGGAACACACACACACAGGTACACACACACAGGTACACACACACACACACAGGTACACACACACACATAGGTACACACACAGGTACACACACACACAGGTACACACACAGGTACACACACACACAGGTACACACACACACAGGTACACACACACAGGTACACACACACAGGTACACACACACACACAGGTACACACACACAGGGTACACGCACGCACACACGCACAAATGTACACACACATAGGTACACACACAGGTACACACACAGGTACACACACACAGGTACACACACACACAGGTACACACACACACAGATATACACACATAGGTACACACACAGGTACACACACACAGGTACACACACACGCACGCACACACGCACAAATGTACACACACAGGTACACACACACAGGTACACACACAGGTACACACACACACACAGGTACACACACACACAGGTACACACACACACAGGTACACACACACACACAGGTACACACACACAGGTACACACACACACAGGTACACACACACACACACAGGGTACACGCACGCACACACGCACAAATGTACACACACATAGGTACACACACAGGTACACACACAGGTCCACACACACAGGTACACACGCGAGCGTGCCAGTGCGTGTGTGTGTGCGCGCGTGCCAACACGTGCCAGTGCTCGCGTGCCGGTGCGAGAGGAACGTACGATGAGGAAGCATGCTCCGAGCAGCGTGGCCTTGACCTTCACGTCCAGGTCCATGGGGAACTGCACCCCGAAGTTCTCGGCGTCGGTGAAGGCTTCGCGCACCAGCCCAGTCCACTGCTTCGTGATCTTGCCCACCTCCGTCTCGCCGTCCTTGGCTAGCACCTGACGCACACCCCCGGGGGTCACGCCACAACACGGGGTCACACCACAACGCAGGGGTCACACCACAACGCAATTAACACAGGCGGTCGGGGAGCCGAGCCGAGACGAGTGAGCGGTTGTCGTGAAACGAGCGGATATCGGGGAGCTGAGCGAGCGGTTGTCGTGAAACGAGCGGATATCGGGGAGCTGAGCGAGCGGTTGTCGTGAAACGAGCGGATATCGGGGAGCTGAACGAGCGGTTGTCGTGAAACGAGCGGATATCGGGGAGCTGAGCGAGCGGTTGTCGTGAAACGAGCGGATATCGGGGAGCTGAACGAGCGGTTGTCGTGAAACGAGCGGATATCGGGGAGCTGAACGAGCGGTTGTCGTGAAACGAGCGGATATCGGGGAGCTGGGCGAGCGGTTGTCGTGAAACGAGCGGATATCGGGGAGCTGAACGAGCGGTTGTCGTGAAACGAGCGGATATCGGGGAGCTGAACGAGCGGTTGTCGTGAAACGAGCGGATTATCGGGAGCTGGGCGAGCGGTGTCGTGAAC